AAACGTTTCGTATCGATGCGCAGATACGGCCGAACAATGGACGGTTTCTCTATGACTATCGGCGTTTTTCGACTCCACGCATACATCGAAATGCGTCTCTCCTCTCTCTCTCTCTCTCTCTCTCTCTCTCTCTCTATCTATCTATCTATCTATCTATCTATCTATTTCTCTATCTCTCTCTATCTCTCTCTCTCTCTCTCTCTCTCTATCTCTCTCTCTCTCTCTCTCTCTCTCTCTCTCTCTCTCTCGCGCCAATCGCGTTTACGTTGGACCGGTGCGCGCGATATTACCGGCGGACATGCTCCGGTGAACCGGATAAATGCCAGTAATTTATATCAGCGAAAGAATGGCGAAGTTAAAACAAACGATAGTTTGTTGCATGTGTATATATATATATATATTGCAGACGCGATATATACGTGCGCCCTATCCGCGTCTTCCACTTCGCGTTGTACCCCGTCAATTCAACGGATGGATCCATTAGAAGAGGGAAAGAGAAGAAAACTGTGCGACGTTCCGCTACGTGTACGTTTGAGAGAGAGAGAGAGAGAGAGTGTGTGTGTGTGTGTGTGTGTGTGTGTGTGTGTGTGTGTATGTTCGATGAACATGTCGTTCACGGAACGCCGATACGTCGATGGGTCTCGCGAAACACCTGCGAATCATTAGCGGAGCCATTGTCTAAGTCACGCTCGTTAAATACGCAGTATTACTTCCGGAACGTCGACGGCGCGGCTCTCCTTGCTCTCTATTTCTCTCTCTCTCTCTCTCTCTCCCTCTCTCGTATCGTAATTTTCCGATCCCCAGATCGCACCCTGGTAATGTTCATGATTACGCGTAATGACGGTTCGCCGCTTATGGTCCTCTGGGAACTCGTTTGCGAAAAATTGCGGAAAACCCTCGAAGAAAAAGTAACGATTCCCCGCAAACGCGGCATTGTCATGCGAGCCACGAGTAGATGAGTTCACGAAGAAGAAGATGAGCCGACTCGTGTTCAGCGCTCGTTAGAGCGCTGTGACTGTAATCAAAGTGACAGAACGCGACAGCTGTTCACGTGGTGCGCACGCGCGCGTGCGAGTTGCCTTGCTGGAGCTAATTTTTTTTCCTGCCAAAGCAGGAAATTGATTTCAGTATCGACGAGCGCCAGCTGTCCTGGGCGCGCGACGGCAGATAGGATATAATAATTCGCAGTCGGATGAACGCAATGTGAATCGATATTGCGTCACCGACGACGTCCCGGCTACCCTTCCCCCTCTGGAAGTTTTGACGGGACTCTCTCGCACTCAGTTAATTTCGCTGCGTATTTTTATTTCCACGCGAGGAGTATCTGCAGTGGGAGACTCGAGACCTGAGAAAAAAGTAGTCTTCTCCGCGGGAAACTTTCCGCAGGGATAAGTTTTTCGAAGGATACTTTGACATCTTCATACTCGAATATCCGCGGAAACTGGAAAAATGCGGGGAACGCATCAAAGCGCGATCTGCCTCGCGAATCCACCAAGCGAGACACCGCGGTCGGTGAGAATTTGCGAAAGGAAGAAAGGGAGGGGGAGGGAGGGAGCGAAAAGAAGAGAGAACGGGCCATATCAGTCGCGCTCGCGACCGCCGAGATAGCCCGCGCGCGTGGTCTAATGCATTTCTAATGTTCCTCATGCCTGTGAGGGCATAAAAGTTCCAGCACTTCGCCGGCTCCGGCTTTTCCAAGCTCGGCCTCGTTTTATTCCCGCTGCTCGCGCGCACGCGCGTATGCTCATTCATGAGCGTTAGCATTTTTACGGGGGCGATTAAAAATTTAGCCGTCGTTCGTCAGCGCGCGAAATTAACTCACTCCCGGTCGTCGGAAATGCGAAATGCGCTTGGCCAATGTAACATTAATGGCGGCGGCCGTAAACGGTACACTCCTCCGCGAAATTGCTGCATATTATTGCACGTTTCGACGACATTGAAAGATAAATGTGCGGAGCGCTCGCAGGTAACTCGATTCCCTCGGTCGGCTTTCAAACAGCTGGAAACGTCGGAAGCTACTCTTTCCGTTTAAATGTACGCACAATAATGTCATTCGACCAACGAAAGAGAGTGGGGGGGGGGAAGCATTATGCGCCGAGGGTGTCCCTCTGTCTGTCTTGCTTTCGCGATGAATACATTCATCGAGAGCATCCTGAAAAGATGTACTCGCTTGGTAACATTTCAGACGAAAACGTTCCTCGGGACGATTCAGATATAGCATGTGTTTATATCTTAATATTCCTCACTCTCATCTTTACTCTCAAGATAATCTTATCGAAGCGTCACATCGCCGCAGCATCCTCAATACGAAGAGCAACCAAAGTTGCGACGAAATTGCGATAAAATTTGCTCACTAGGCAAGAATCGACCGCGCGCGTCCGTTCCCCCGCCGCGGAGAGATGTGCGATCGGTGTGTGATGTTTTTCCTCCTCTTTTTTTCTTTCTTTTGGCACATCTCATGCATCGGGCTGTTAACCTACTCGGATTTGGTCGCCGGCCAACGGCAATTCGGTGCGTATATAGGAAAGCGGCCTCACAATTTCTCGATCGATCTCGTCGTCGTAAGAGGATACCGGAAGTTCATTACCTCGGTACTTGCCCCCTCTTCTGGTCCTCCTTGTGGACAATGACTCTCCGACACACAATCCTGGCCGGCCGCCAGTTTTTGACGTGCGTTTTTACCTTTTGGTATTAGGCCAAATTCTCGCGACGCGAGCCGTCCATTTACGGTTGCTTTCACTTCGACATCGCCGTCATCGTCTTTGGTCGTCGTCTTCGTCACTATGCTCTGCGGCTAAATATCGACGGCGACTCAGACGGAAGCGGAAGAAGAAGAAGAAGAAGAAGAAGAGTCCCGAGTGGAAAGTTCCCAGCGGAATCGGGAGCGAGTCGCGGAACTCTTCTTCGGAGACTCGTCCGATAATATCGATTGATCCGCATTGCGTAAATTAATTGGCACTCATTCGGCCAACCGACGCGCCTCATCTGGTTTTTGCGAAGCGTTAAAACCGCGGAGCGGTTGAATAAATCAGACGGGAGAAGGAGCTTTCTCTGCAAGGGAAATGAGATTGTGTTTCTGAACAGCGCCGAGGTAAAAAGCCACGGCGAACGCCTCTCAAGTGCCTCTCTCCCTCGCCCCGCAGCGCTGTAATTCTTTAAGCGAGAGACGCTTATATTCTTTAGGAAAATCCACAGTGGGAGCAACAGGGAGAGAGAGAGGGGGGGGAAGCGGGGAGAGGGTCGAGAAACGGCTGAGCGATCGATAGGGAACGCGGGACAATAAAGCACGCGAGACGCGTTTCTCACGTCCGGTTTCTGTTTCCCTCTCGGGTTTCAAGAATTGATTTTGTCTCGCGCGGCCTCTCGCCGTCTCGGTTGCGCGCGAGCTGAAAGTATCACATCGAGAGTGTTTCTCTCAACGCACACAGACACGCCGAGGGCAAGAGATGACCGCCGAATAAAGAAAGCGTCGAGCGCGCATGGTAGTCTCGTCCGAATGCGGGAGAAAAGAACATTTTTCTGTATATTGATCCTGCCGTTGATCGACGATTTATTACTCTCGATTCATTGCGACACACACACACACACACACACACACACACACACACACAGAGAGAGAGACAGACACGTGTGTGCTTGAATATTTATCACTTAGGCGACCGTGTATTTATCAGTTTGCATCTACATTCGTGCGCGGAGGCGGCATGCTCCGTCTTGAAGAACGGCTGGAGATGCCGACGGTTATTAAACGGCCGTATAGAGGAGAGCCAACTAGCGCAAAGTAGACTGAGCGATCTGCATATCTCGGTTGTAATGAGGACGACGAGTGTCTCGGGAATTTGCGAGCGTAATAACGCGTCAACGGAACGTGCCTGTACCTTCACACCGCGCTGCGCGTACTTCTTCATCTTTTATCAGGATATTACGTTACCGTAACGATAACGAAATTATATACGAGCGAACGATACGGCATTTGCCATCGGTGCGTCGTCACGCACCTCTCCTATCTTCTCTTCTTTCAGCGTTTCTCGTGTCGTTAATCATGCGACAAACGCGCCGCGAATCGCCACCTCTCGTGCACGCATGGTGCGTAATAATTCGTCGGGCGACAAAACGTTCTCGTCCGCCCTTATTACGCGCGTGTTGACGGAATTACGATGACGTTTCGTCTTAGATTAAAAAAAAAATAAAAAAGGAGGGAAATGGGAAAAAAAGCTCATTGACACAGTAACACGATTGGCGGCTCCTGAAGGGTGAGAACGTTGGTAACTCGGTATCCCACCGCGCTTCCACTTTGTACCTCCTCGCATGCGGCAGGGGTACGAACACTTCTTTACACACCGATCTCTCTCTCTCTCTCTCTCTCCCTCCCTCCCTCCCTCCCTCCCCCCTTCTCTCCTCTTTCTGTCTCTTTCTCTCACTCCGCTCTCTCTCTCTCTCTGTCTCTCTCTCTCTCTCTCTCTCTCTCTCTCTCTCTCTCTCTCTCTCTCTCTCTCTCCTCTCTCTCTCTCTCTCTCTCTCTCTCTCTCTCTCACTCTCTTTCGGTTCACGCCGACGTACCATTAAGCTGTTCACCCTCGTTTTTATTTGAATCGCTCGGAGAGCTCAACCCTTGGTTCGAGCGAACGCGCGCACGCGCGCGCGCCACAATCGACCCTCGTAGCGCGAACACAAAAATGGAAGAAAAAATAATATCCCGCTCGACTGAACCAACAGTGTTCTCCGTCGTGCTGCGTCCGCGCGCCGCGGCGCAAAGACCCGGCTCTCTCATTTTTCACTCAGGCTCCATTGGACGGCAAAACGATCGGATAATCGGCGTGAAATCATCGTCCGCTTTTCGCTTCATCCTCCGTACCGTCGAGTTTCCGGCACATCGGTGGCCGCTCGCTCGTTCGCTCGATCTCTAAAACCGGGCCGGACAAACACGGCCGCGCGCGCGCGCGCGTGCGTTCCACATTGTGTAACATCTCTGACGGGAAATGCATTCTTCGTTGTTTCAGGGTGGCGAAGAGGCCGAGAGCGCAACGGCGGCCGCGAGCAGCCCCGCGGATGAGAAGTCAGCGGTGAGCAGTCCGTCGGCGGATGAGCAGCAGGTAGCAGCCGCGCCGGTGGCAGCAGCAGCCGCGGCCACGTCGGCCGAGACGAAGGAAGAGGCCGCTGCGGCGTCGCCAGTAGCCGCCGCTAGTCCCGCCGAGGAACAGAAAGAAGAACCCACTCCCTCCGCCCCCACTCCCGTCCCGTCTGCCGAGGATAAGAAAGAGGAGGCGGTCGAAAAAGTCGAGGCGGCCGAGAAAAAAGTAGTCGAGGTCAGTCCAGCCGGCGGTCGGTCCGTAGCGGACCCGATAGAGGTCCCCGTCTTCCGAGTCCAGCCAGTCGCGACGCCGTCTATCATTGAGAGGAAAACCAGTGAGGACCTCCCGTCCCTGCCCCCGTCCAGTCCACCGCCAACCCCCATAGACCCGTCGCCCTTGCAGCAGGCTCGGCAGGCCGCGGCGAGCGCCACGGCGCTCGCCGAGGCGCTCAAGCTGCCCGCCGAGGCTGCCGGCGAGGAGGAATCGTCACCGGCCGACGTGTTCCCGACGTCGTCCCGCGAGTACGTTCCTCAAGAGAGCCGCGCGGAGCCCGTTCCCGCTAGCGCGCTCCCGAAATCGTCATCACCCGCTCCCATCTCCTCGACAGACCTATCCTTGTCGACGGAGACGACCTTTATCCACGCGAAGGTAATAGAGAACCCGCCGCCGCCACCGCCGCCGCCGCCGCCGCCGCCGCCGCCGCCATCATCATCATCATCGACGGTGGTGGAGGCCGCCGGGATCGAGTCTCGAGATGTCGCGAGGCAGGTGGCGGAGACGTTAGCGGGTATTCGTGACAATGAGGGGGGTGAGATCGATCCGAAGGTAGAGAGCGCGTCGGAGAGCTGTCCCGTCGCAGCGGAGGAGGTGTGTAAGCACCAGGAAGAAGGTGAGGCAAATAGGGTGGAGGTGGAGCAGGAGGAGGCGCCACGAGTGGCGGATACGGCGAAGCGCTCGGATGAGCCGCTCGATGAGAAAAATATACAGAGCCAGGTGGTGGAACGCCAGCCGGTCTCTTCGAGAGAGCTGGACCCGCTCGTTGACGTTGGCGTCGGCGAAGTCGGCGGTGCACGCGACGATGTCGTCGTCGTAACAGCCGCGGTAACAAGCGAGCTGAAGTCTCCCGCGGAGACGGAGCCGCTGGATCAGTCGACGGTGAAGCACGAGATGAGAGTCGTCGACGTTGCCGCGCCGGACGAAGTTACGAATGAGACTTTGTCGGTCGTGGAGTGTCAAATAAAGAGCGAGATAAATAATCTCGCAGACACAATGAAGACAGATGTATCGCCTAACGCCGGATATGATGAAAAAGCCGAGGCTGCTGCAGCCTTAGCGCCGGTCGAAATTGATACAAATGACTCTTGTCCGACGATAAAGGAGCATCTCACGTTTGAAACTGAGCAAACGGAGAGCTCCTCGCGGCAGGCACCACCGGCGGCACAGTGCGTGGAGCTGCTGGGAGAATCATCGGATTTGCATGTTCCTTCGGCTGACAAATGTTCGGATGATAAAGCAGTGGAAATTGCAGCGCAGCCGTGCGAGAAAGCGATTGAACCCGAACATAATTACGCGAAAGACGCGCCGGAAGATGCCGAAGAAGAAACAGCGATCGTCTCGGAGATCTCGCCGAAGCAGACCGAGCTTGTCGTAGACTCCGAGGAAGGTCCTCTGTCGGTTTCGGACGATATTCTGGTGGAAGCCAAATTGGCGCTGGTTATCCCGGAAGACGATAGCGTGGAGGAGCTGACCGATACCACCGAGTCGGTGAAGGTGATCCCCGAAACCGACGAGGAGAAGATCGAGAACGAGGTCGAGTCGGACAACGCGCTGCCCACGGAGGAGACTCTGATCTCCGAGGAGATGGAGGAGTTCTCCGCACCGGAAGATGCGCCGATTGTCGAAGCGTGCGAGCAGTTAAACGACGCAAAGATGACGGTCTACGTCGAGGACGATTTGCCGCCTCCTCCACTCGCCGAAGACGCCGCTCTGTTCGGCTTGCGAGTAGTCGAGCCTCCAGGCGCCGCCGTGAGCGCGATCGACGCGGAATCGACGACCGCTGCTGTCAAAGGGGATCCGGTCGTGATGTTTTCCGCGACTATCGAACCAGTCCACGTAGAACCAGTCATCGCAGAACCAGTCACTGCGGAACCAGTCAGCACAGAACTAGTCACGGCATCCTTCGCGCAAATCGAGCAAATGGAGGATATCGAAAGTAGTCGTCTCCGTGCGACACCGCCGGCCGAGTTCTGTCTCTTGGACAATTCAGAACCGTTGCATTGTTTGTCGTCGGAATTCCCAGACCCCCCGACGGATTTCCCGTCGCTGGAAGTCGGCGAGAGTCAGTCGAGCGAGCCCCAGACGTCGTCACCTCCCTCGTCCTTCTCCGAGAACTTCCCCGTCGCGACGGATCTCCCCGGCCTCCCGATGCCCGATGACACGGGAATGCCCAGCTTCGACTGTTCTCAGTCGCACCTCCCGAACACATGCGCGAACACATCCGAGCCAGCAGCTTCCGCCGAGCAGCTCGCGGCTAGGCCGAGAGACCCGACAGAGGCACTCCTCACACCGCCCACAAGTCCCAATTCCCAGTCCAACGCCAATGTCGCGCCCGACTTCGCGACCACCACGCACGATTGCCCGCAAACCCTCTCGAACGACGAGGACGGCCGGAGCAATAGCGAGTCGCAGACGACGACGGGGGAGTCGGTGTCGGTGAGCGCAGCACCGGCTTCCTCGTACGATCACTCGGATGTTGAGTTGAAGGAGAGGCTGGCGGCCATGTGCCTAGCGGAGACCGAATGCCAGGAAGGGGCCTTGTCGTGTCAGTTGTCGGCCGCCGTCCTGTCGACTGCCGCCCAGGAGCATCACCAGGTGACTAACATGCAACACAACCTCCTGGCATGAACGCGGCCGGCCAAAGTTCTTTGGCGGGCGCTTCGTTCCACGTTTATCTACGTCGTACGGTCCGCACAATATATACTGTCTCTGTGGTTATACTCCGAAAGATATCGACTCCCCCGTTTCCCCCTGCCCCCTTCGTCTCTCCTCTTCAGCATCCTTACATCTCGCAGAGAATCATTATCTCATCCATCCGGTGCTCTGTGTCGTCCGGGGATTGACGCGTATCATCGAGTCTTCCCGCCACCTCGAATCCCGAACGGCGTGCGTTCCGCTCTTCCGTCCCACGTCTCCGCCGTCCACTTAAGCGGACACACCACGGTCCCCACCTGCTTTTCCGCCCCCGTTCTCTCGACGAAGGGTAACATCGAATGAGACTGACAGCGACGTCCGGGAGATCTTGCACGATTCTCGTCTGGAAGGGCTGTCGCTTCTCGCCGTTGTTCGACCGATGCACGAGCAACTCCGGAGCTTCGGTCGGTCCTCGGAGTCTGCGAACCGTTCAAGTCCTCTTCCCGGCTCCCACGAAGCTCCGTTCCAACGCCTGAGGGTCTCGTCTCGTATGCATCCTTCGTTCTGTGCGAACGTGATTAACAACAAGCGCCTACCTCTATCTTTCTTTCTCTTTCTCTCTCCCCCCCCCCCCCCCCTCTCTCTCTCTCTCTCTCTCTCTCTCTCTCTCTCTCTCTTTCTGTCTGTTGCTCGATGTCCTCCGTTCCACGGCTTCCACCCAGCTCTCCCTCATGTTGTTTATACCACGACTACCGATTACCACCTGTGTTGTTTGCCTCTTGGTTTTCTTGATAATATTAACACGACTTTTATGCGGCTAGTAAAGAAACCGAACGTATACGCTGTAGTAGAGCATCTCCTAATTTTGTAGCGCGGCGAACAGCTCGGGCCCTGCACTGCCGCGGGCACGATGCCACTTACCTCTCGTAGAGGAGTCTCTTTTCCTCGTGGAATTGAGAATGCTCTTATACTAATATAACATAGAACGCCCGAGTTTTCTTTGTTTCTTTTTAGAGGTACCTCTAGTGTGAAATCTCATTGATAGACGTAACAGCAGTTGGACTAATGACACGCGCGTGGTGTAGCTGGCGTTATATATATATATATATATACACACATATACATATATATATATATATATATATACATACATAGAGGCGATAATATGTACTCGTTAGAAGAGCTCGATATACTGTCGTGCTGCTCTACGTAATCTGCATCTGTTGTGTCGTCAAGCATCTTGTAATGCGCATGCCGAGTTTTCTTATCTGAGGGTTCGCCAGACGAGGGTTTTTCAATTCTTTACGCTGCTCGTAAGCATGACGGAACGATTCTGCTCGGCCGCCACGCCGTCCGTTACACGCTCATTTTATATCGCGAGAGGCAAGGAAAGAGATCGCTCACGAAGCGCTCTCCTCTTCGCGAGAACGAGAACTTTGCCCGGCAGAATCGATCTTGCGTCTCTCTTTTGTCCTCGTTACAGCATGCTGGGATTTGGACTTGAGGAATCATAGAGATGGGTAAACAGAAGGAGAAATTGAAAGGTTGGAGCAGAAGGGGAGAGAGAGAGAGAGAGAGAGAGAGAGAGAGAGAGAGAGAGAGAGAGAGAGAGAGAGAGAGAGAGAGAGAGAGAGAGAGAATGTGTGTGCGTGTGTATGGAGGAAAGAGTGAAACGGCCAGAGACGTACAATATACGACGAGCAAGTAACGAACAGAATTGATACTTTTGCAGAGCGCTCCGGAAGCCGAGGCGCCGGTAGAAAACAACGTGGCCCATGACGCCAGCACGACGGATTGCAACGACGAACCTCCTAAAGTCGCACCACCGGCCGTCCCGACCGAGGCACCAGCCTCCCCGCCAACAGCTCCGGCCATCACCGAGGACGTCGCCTCGGTCACCAAGGTGATATATACATATGTTCGCAGTCTAGCCGCGGTCTGAAGATTATAATCACGTACGCTACGTTCGTGCTATTATTAGCCCCGGAGTGAGTCATTGACGATGATGCGGATAGCAGCGCCGATCGATCCTCTTGTTTCGAGTACATGTACAAAGAGTGTCTTTAACACCTCCGCACGCAATGTCGTGCGGTTTACTTTGTTGGCTTTGCTCACGCGCGTCTTTGTGTTGTGTGGACGCTTCAGTGAGAAAGAGATCTGAAAGTAATATTAAATGATACGGTGCGATTTGCACACAAAGCGAGATTGCGAAACGTAGTGGATAGAGAGAGAGAGAGGGGGGGGGAGAGAGAGAGAGAGAGAGAGAGAGACGACTCATCGCTTGCTCAAAGGGCGCAACTCGAGACTTCCGTCTCCAAGAGTCCACTCGAGTCTTCAAAGTTTTAATTATCGACATTTCACGGACGTGTGAAGAGACAAAGTTTGATGATACATCTCGTGGTAGCAGCACTCTGTATGCTGGGTGAAAATTTCTTAGATACTTTGAATAATAAGATACTTGGTAATTGATATGATTCTTGCATACATGATGATCGCCGAGAGATCATTCACGCTCCGTGAGCGTAAATGAGCCTGAAGGTCATTATCGAGTATATACTGACCGACGAAGATTAATGAGCGAAGGGGCCATCTGATCATTAATATAGACGACCGCACCTTTTTACAGTGAGCAAGCAATCATTAACGACATTAATGCTTTTATTCTCTTTCTCTTTAAAGGCTATCGAGGAGATTGACATAAGTGATAAGGCGGTCGCAGCGGCAGTGAACGAAGCTATCGAATGCAACACGAACGTAAGTGTTTTCGAGCCGGTATCAATCTTCGTCCGTTACTTTGAACAGCCTGCGATTAACATCCCCTTTTTCTCTTCTTTTCTGTTGCAGGAAATCATCGCCGATGCGCACCACCAAAACAACATAAACGAATACGAATAAGCGCCACTAACTGAATTGTATTTTGGGAAGAAGAAAGTTCTTTTCTCTCGTTAAAACCAAAAAAGTATATTATATAGATATGTATATTTGGACCATTCCTCCAACTAAACAGAAAAAAAAACGTTCTTTCGTTACGAGCAGCAAAAGGGGAAAACGGGGCGACGATTACGACGACGATGATGACGACGACGACGATGTTACCGCGGCATCGCCTATATCGCAAACGATATAGACTCTATAGTAGGCCTATTAAATATTAGACGGCGTTTGACAGCAGGGTGAACGAGAATACATGCGAGAGAATCTACGATCTTATTATTTAAGAACGGGATTAACGAGGTCGTGCACTGCGCGAACGTTCGATTCTGAGGGGCAGCACACAAGGGGGTACCACATACGCACACATACACATATGATGCAGTGATGCATACATTCGTATACATTCACACATGCATACACCACACCACCCAATATGCCGTTTGCGCACAGAGTCTCTCACAGAGTAAACGACACTCGTTATTCTTTGTGGCGCGCGGTCAGCGCAAAAGTGTCGATTCTTCTTTGAGCCGTGCTCAACCGCGGGCTACAACGATCGGCCCTGCTGTGTAGAAATTTTTAAAGTGTCATTATAATTGTTACTGAGGTAAGTCTAATATGCTCGAACAAGGCGCGACGGACAGGCGATAGGAGCGATTAATTAAGATCACCGTGACGAGATAGGGAGAATCGTTCGTCGTGCATTCCAGAACAAATACTCATTGGATGGCGCCCTGCCGTAATTACGTAACTATTGTACTCTGGGAGCGAAAGTGTGTATAAGAGAGAGAGAGAGAGAGAGAGAGAGAGAGAGAGAGAGAGAGAGAGGCGGGGGAAGGGAGAGGGAGAGAGAGAGAGAGAGTGTGTGTGTGTATGTGAGAGCGATTGAGTGAGAGTGAGAGAAATAGAGCAAGAAATTGATAGAGCCAGCGAAATATAAAAGAAGAAATCGAGAGATAGGCTGTGCATGATATAGCGATTGACGGTGTGAAAGGGGAAAGAAAATGATAGCGCGTGGAACAAGGAATATGGTGTGTACGGCGAGATAGAGAGAAATAGGGAGAGGGAGGGAGAGAAAGAGAGAGAAAGCCACGAATGTGTGTGGGATATATCTGCGCCGCGGTGAGAGCAGGAAACGGACGGATGCACGCGAAGAACGATATGGAGAAAACATAAGACGGAAGATTATAGAGCGTGGCTCGTGAGACATTCAGCAAACGAGCGATATAATCGCACTCGCATCGCGATTTCGAGAGAGAGAGAGAGGAGGGGATAGAGCATCCGACCTGTTATTATTACTTCGCTCGTGTTTTCTTCGCGGTCCTTAGTTTTCCTTTTTCCGTTTTACATCTGTACAATTGAGACGTATTACGTTGTTGTAACGAGGAACTGCACCATTTTTTAACATGACTTTGGTACGTGCGCGCACACGCGCGTGCACGCAGGCACGCGCTTGCAAGCACACGAGGAGAAAGAAAGAGAGCAGAGAAAGAGAGAGAGAGAGAGAGAGAGAGAGAGAGAGAGAGAGAGAGAGAGAAAGAGAAAGCAAGGGAAAGAGAGAAAGACAGACAGACAGAGACAAAGAGAGACAGAGAGACGTTAACACACGAGACACATGCAAAGGGACATTTACACCGCGTATACGTATATACGTACCATGGAGCATACGAAATAAAAGTATATACAGTAAGTCGAAACAAGATGTAAGTGATATATTAATCTAGACTATAGAGAATGCGTTTGTGTAAATTCGGCGTTTATTCGACATGCTACTTCTCCAATACAAGAGAGAAACACTTACGACGAAGCCTAATCGTAATTTTTATGATAATCATTAAAGTATCGCCTAATTACAATTTACTACGAAGACATGCACAATTTACCACCCGGAATGGTACCTTTTTCAAGTTTTTCATACGATGTTTCTACGTTTATACGGATCTCCAGAAGTAAAAGAATAATTATTACGTACGAGAAGCTTTTTTTATTAAGACCGTAGCGTAGATCGTAAAGTTAAACGAGAGAGAAAGGGGAGAAAAAGGAATACGCATACACACGTGTGAGACACGCTCCGATTTCTGGAGAATAATCAAGTGTCGAAAGAGGAAAAAGAGAGAGAGAGAGAGAGAGAGACAAAAGAAAAAGAGCGAGCATGCTTGCTCACACGTGTTCATAACCGGCATTGATTTCCAAGCGGTACGTGTTATGATATTGATAACGTGCGTAAAGGCGGGAAGTAAAATTAAAAAGTTGTATAGTAAAAAAAAACCACACTCACGAAATATCTGTCCGCAATGATCTTTACAACGAAATTACATCGTCTTCTTTGCGACGACGCGTTTTCGGCGACGAGAGCATACTTCTTATCGAAATTTTTCGCGAGCGACGCGAGACTGATATCCGCGCTTACAACACCTATTACAATCGTCATCGACACTCTGAGGCGCCATCGAGGCAAACCTCGCTCGTTTATTTATTTTGCGCAGGAGACTACAAAATTGTGAATGAGACTTTTGGATCGAAGCCGCCTCAGACGCGAAAGTACAGTCTCCAGTATCTTCGATCAGCAGTTATAATAGTAACTATTCTACATTTATCTATAACCTATAATAAACTGTGAAACAAGTGTACAGTGATGAGTAATTATTTTATTGTAATACCTGTCCTGTACAATCATAATACACAGTATTAAATATGTAGGAATGTATATATATAAATATATATATAAATATATGTATATATATATATATATATATTATATATATCACGTATATTTTATATATATATATAATTTTAAAGATATATATATATATATACAAAATGTTACACTAATACTTCTAAAACATTAATCATTGTTTCTAATTCATCCTTATTTAGTTCTAAATTAATTATTCGCCGAGAGTCCATGTCCTCAACTATGAAATCCAATTGCAGAAGGGATTCCCGCAAAGAAGCCATCTTGCTTGATCCCATCACCAGCTATATCAAGTAATGAATCTGTTAAAGTTGATATTGAAAATATACAATGATTAATAGTGCAATACCTTTAATCTCCAATCAAAATTAGTAACAGTTGGTAATTTCCTTTTGTAATGTTCCTTCAATAAAGCATTTGTAAGTTGTTCCCTGCGTACTTTTAAGCAAGTAAGAACATTTTGTTGCACTTGCTCTGGTAATTCATGATATTCTTGTGGCATCTGAAACAATAATTTGCAAAGATTTTCATTATACAATTAAAAAGAATATAATTTGACTGAATATAGTTTGGATAATTTATCCACAGTATCGTATATCAAATATTTAAAATCATTTTACAGCAAAAATGTTCACAAGTATATGCAATTTTTTTTTAAACCATACCTTCTCGTCCACCATGTACAGTGATGCGGGATTTTTCAATAATGTTGATAACAACTTATAAACTCCTTCATATTCCGCCCTGCTCCAATCCATACTGTTAATGAATTTACGATAGGATGGTCCTGGACGGCCGCAAATTTCGTCAACGCACGCATGGAGCAACTTAATGTTAAAAAGAAAGTGCTTTGTAATAGTGTTAATTAAAAAATGTGTATCTTTGTTTTATTTACCTCTTTTAAGACGTCGCTCTTCTCTTCACTGAAGAGGCTAATATACAACGATTGGCTGCTCTTCATTACTGATATTTATTACAATTTCTATCTTACATATACATTTTTCTTCCTTTCTTTCCTGGCTTGTAAATCTTTTGTTACTGTCAGAGAGCATAATTGTTAAGTTAGATTATTGGGATACCACACATTCTGTAAATCTCAATAATTACATAACCCTCATTTGCACATTATTCGGTATAATAGATTTTTCTTCAAGTAGAACTTTTCATATTACATACATGCATTTAATAACAGGAAATTGTTGTTAACTTGTTCAAGTATCACCATACCCGGCTGCGCACTACACGTTTAAGGTTAAAAAACGAATACAACCGCATCTGACAGGACTATCACCTCGATTTCTCTTCTGGACGGTGGCGGCTCGTAGTGGAGACTTCGAAACTATTAAATGCAATTCAAGCAAAGGTAAAAAAAAAGTCTATGGTCTGTTCGTTTTAGCTGCATTGCTGAACTGGTGCATAAATAAATAATAAGTTAGAGAGAGACAATTATATTTTTTGTCACACTAACTTATTGCATCAATTCAGCAACGCAGCTAAAAGGAACAGCCCTAATTCTCTCGAAATAGTCAAAGGTTTAATAGATTTTCTCTGTCGCTAGATGGCGCCGATTGGTTCATTCAAGACTGGGTAAAGCAGAACCACCAGAGGGCCTGACCAATAAGGTGCAATCGCGGGTTAGTTCGCCGTTCAATCAAAGGGGGTTGATCTTGAATTACCGATGTAACTCTAGGTCGAGTTCGGTTCGAATATTAACGGTCGTTCGTAATGTGATGTTATTCGCGTCGTGTTTTCTCGTCGAATTTTCGCGAGTGTAGTGATTGTGGTATATGCAGTGTAGTGTGTCTCACGAGATGCGAAATCTCTGTGATTTGGTGTTTAGATTTGGAGATAAAAAGCATCGGTATGCATTCGCCCGCCAACCGCTGATCGTTTCGAGCTTTCGGAGTGATTCAGTGCACATTACTAGCAGTGTGATTCTCGTTATATTGAGGCGATAATGGATTCCTCTGTATATTTTCTGTGTTTCCGACGTTGTCTACGTCTACGTGATCTACATGCAACGCCCTAGGATTATGTGAATCAGCAGCCTTCCACCGGTGCTTTCTTCACCTTCGCTTGCCTAACACGTCGCCATTACCGCCATTACGCAGTACACGAGATTTTCAACGGTAAGTCTCCATTTTGATAAAAATCATATTTCTTACATTTTTTGGAGTGAAATATTGCTCGAAAAGCCGGATGACAATCAAATAGCTCTAATTCGAGTGATTTTTCATTATTGTAGAGTGAATTCTTCGATGTGAGTGAGGAAGAGATGTGTATATTAATTGATCGCGCGCGAAATATTCACTTGCATGTGGAATCGATTTTAAGGTGAAATAAAAGAATCTTACGATTCCGAATGGCAAAAATTTTAATATCGCTCCGAATAAATTTTTACTCATTCTGAATGAGAAATGACTTCAAAAAATTTAGAGAATATTATTTTTCAAAGATTCGTGTCGTTACATAAATTCATATCGTAGGTATTCGAATAGAATAATCGAAATAAACATATTCGTTATGGCAAGATTTCTTTGAAAAGTGACAGAAAATATAGGCGAGCCAATTATAGACGTTTTCCGATCAAATATCGCTTCATTCTTGGAGAATAGTAACGAAAAATATCAGTACAGATATATCGCGAGCGAATCGTTTTCGATCGCAATTTCTAATGAAATCGTATTTTTGATTAAAGATATTTTATCCTATTTTATCCTATTTGGCTAGACAGTCCAGCGAACAATTACTTGCGATTAAAATACACGAAAATATTCGCTTTTCAACGCGAGCCCTGTTCCAAATATCTGTAGAGCTTAAAACTAAAGCATCCATCTCCCAACTCGTCGATTCCTGGAACTCAAGGCGTCCTTTCCGAATGTGTCGATTCCCAGAATTGGCCAGTCGGAAATGTCGAGCCTTACTCCGTGGTGAGGTGAATCTTCCTTTGACAAGATCTGTGCTTCGTGTTCACTTATACAATATGATAAATTTCTCTTGCTTTACACGAGTTCGTAACGTATATTTTGCTTACCCAATAAATAAAATGCGTTTCTAATGTAAATTTGAAGAATATTAACTGCGTTGCTATAAGATTATTATATTATATAAGACTCTTATACACAAATTCTACTTTCATAACACATTTTTGCAATTTGCGTGGTGTTTCGTTATTTTGCGTCTAGATTCAAATCGTGTTGTTATTTATATTTTAATTATTTGTAACCCGTAGTCCGACTTTTTCACACCCATCAATTTTCAATCTTTCGCGATCTCTAACTTCAAAACGCGTAATCGTAGCTTCATGCGATTTGCACGGCTCATTCTTATTTCGAATCTGGATTAATGTCTTGTAGCAAATAATTTTGCAAATTATACCCGGTGACATGTCATTTTCGCATCGATCGATCGTGATCTATCGGTTTTAATTTCTCGATAACGAATAGGCGCACCTTGTTGTAATTTGTGAGGATCTTTCTTATTTTGGGTCTAGATTAAAATCTTATTATGCATATTTCGATATTTCATATTTCATTTTCATGCCCGTCATTTTTCCATCTTTCCTGGGTTATATCTTAGAAACGCGTGATCTCAGCTCGATGCGGTTTGCACGGATCAATCTTATTTCGGACCTAGATTAATGTCGTATAACAAATAATTTTGTAGCTTATATCCGGTGACACGTTATTTTCGCATCGGTCGGGCTTGACCTTTCGGCTTTAATATCTCTATAACGAATAGGCGCACCTTGTTGTAATTTGCGAGGATCCTTCTTGTTTTGGATCTAGATTAAAACCTTATTGTCCATATTTTGTTATTTAATATTTTATTTTCATGCATGTCACTTTTCCATCTTTCGTGGCTTATATCTCGGAAACGCGTGATCACAGCTCGATGCGGTTTGCACGGATTAATCTTATTTCGAACCTAGATTAATGTCTTATGGCAAATAATTTTGCAGCTTATATCCGGTGACACGGTATTTTCGCATCGGTCGGACTTGACCTTTCGGCTTTAATATCTCTATAACGAATAGGCGCACCTTGTTGTAATTTGCGAGGATCCTTCTTATTTTGGATCTAGATTAAAACCTTATTGTCCATATTTTGTTATTTAATATTTCATTTTCATGCATGTCACTTTTCCATCTTTCGTGGCTTATATCTCGGAAACGCGTGATCACAGCTCGATGCGGTTTGCACGGATTAATCTTATTTCGAAGCTAGATTAATGTCTTATGGCAAATAATTTTGCAGCTTATATCCGGTGACACGGTATTTTCGCATCGGTCGGACTTGACCTTTCGGCTTTAATATCTCTATAACGAATAGGCGCACCTTGTTGTAATTTGCGAGGATCCTTCTTATTTTGGATCTAGATTAAAACCTTATTGTCCATATTTTGTTATTTAATATTTCATTTTCATGCATGTCACTTTTCTATCTTTCGTGGCTTATATCTCGGAAACGCGTGATCACAGCTCGATGCGGTTTGCACGGATTAATCTTATTTCGAACCTAGATTAATGTCTTATGGCAAATAATTTTGCAGCTTATATCGTGTGACACGGTATTTTCGCATCGGTCGGGCTTGACCTTTCGGCTTTAATATCTCTATAACGAATAGGCGCACCTTGTTGTAATTTGCGAGGATCCTTCTTATTTTGGATCTAGATTAAAACCGTATTATCCATATTTTGTTATTTAATATTTTATTTTCATGCATGTCACTTTTCCATCTTTCGTGGCTTATATCTCGGAAACGCGTGATCACAGCTCGATGCGGTTTGCACGGATTAATCTTATTTCGAAGCTAGATTAATGTCTTATGGCAAATAATTTTGCAGCTTATATCCGGTGACACGGTATTTTCGCATCGGTCGGACTTGACCTTTCGGCTTTAATATCTCTATAACGAATAGGCGCACCTTGTTGTAATTTGCGAGGATCCTTCTTATTTTGGATCTAGATTAAAACCTTATTGTCCATATTTTGTTATTTAATATTTCATTTTCATGCATGTCACTTTTCCATCTTTCGTGGCTTATATCTCGGAAACGCGTGATCACAGCTCGATGCGGTTTGCACGGATTAATCTTATTTCGAAGCTAGATTAATGTCTTATGGCAAATAATTTTGCAGCTTATATCCGGTGACACGGTATTTTCGCATCGGTCGGGCTTGACCTTTCGGCTTTAATATCTCTATAACGAATAGGCGCACCTTGTTGTAATTTGCGAGGATCCTTCTTATTTTGGATCTAGATTAAAACCGTATTATCCATATTTTGTTATTTAATATTTCATTTTCATGCATGTCACTTTTCCATCTTTCGTGGCTTATATCTCGGAAACGCGTGATCACAGCTCGATGCGGTTTGCACGGATTAATCTTATTTCGAACCTAGATTAATGTCTTATGGCAAATAATTTTGCAGCTTATATCCGGTGACACGGTATTTTCGCATCGGTCGGACTTGACCTTTCGGCTTTAATATCTCTATAACGAATAGGCGCACCTTGTTGTAATTTGCGAGGATCCTTCTTATTTTGGATCTAGATTAAAACCTTATTGTCCATATTTTGTTATTTAATATTTCATTTTCATGCATGTCACTTTTCCATCTTTCGTGGCTTATATCTCGGAAACGCGTGATCACAGCTCGATGCGGTTTGCACGGATTAATCTTATTTCGAAGCTAGATTAATGTCTTATGGCAAATAATTTTGCAGCTTATATCCGGTGACACGGTATTTTCGCATCGGTCGGACTTGACCTTTCGGCTTTAATATCTCTATAACGAATAGGCGCACCTTGTTGTAATTTGCGAGGATCCTTCTTATTTTGGATCTAGATTAAAACCTTATTGTCCATATTTTGTTATTTAATATTTCATTTTCATGCATGTCACTTTTCCATCTTTCGTGGCTTATATCTCGGAAACGCGTGATCACAGCTCGATGCGGTTTGCACGGATTAATCTTATTTCGAAGCTAGATTAATGTCTTATGGCAAATAATTTTGCAGCTTATATCCGGTGACACGGTATTTTCGCATCGGTCGGACTTGACCTTTCGGCTTTAATATCTCTATAACGAATAGGCGCACCTTGTTGTAATTTGCGAGGATCCTTCTTATTTTGGATCTAGATTAAAACCTTATTGTCCATATTTTGTTATTTAATATTTCATTTTCATGCATGTCACTTTTCCATCTTTCGTGGCTTATATCTCGGAAACGCGTGATCACAGCTCGATGCGGTTTGCACGGATTAATCTTATTTCGAAGCTAGATTAATGTCTTATGGCAAATAATTTTGCAGCTTATATCCGGTGACACGGTATTTTCGCATCGGTCGGACTTGACCTTTCGGCTTTAATATCTCTATAACGAATAGGCGCACCTTGTTGTAATTTGCGAGGATCCTTCTTATTTTGGATCTAGATTAAAACCTTATTGTCCATATTTTGTTATTTAATATTTCATTTTCATGCATGTCACTTTTCCATCTTTCGTGGCTTATATCTCGGAAACGCGTGATCACAGCTCGATGCGGTTTGCACGGATTAATCTTATTTCGAAGCTAGATTAATGTCTTATGGCAAATAATTTTGCAGCTTATATCCGGTGACACGGTATTTTCGCATCGGTCGGACTTGACCTTTCGGCTTTAATATCTCTATAACGAATAGGCGCACCTTGTTGTAATTTGCGAGGATCCTTCTTATTTTGGATCTAGATTAAAACCTTATTGTCCATATTTTGTTATTTAATATTTCATTTTCATGCATGTCACTTTTCCATCTTTCGTGGCTTATATCTCGGAAACGCGTGATCACAGCTCGATGCGGTTTGCACGGATTAATCTTATTTCGAAGCTAGATTAATGTCTTATGGCAAATAATTTTGCAGCTTATATCCGGTGACACGGTATTTTCGCATCGGTCGGACTTGACCTTTCGGCTTTAATATCTCTATAACGAATAGGCGCACCTTGTTGTAATTTGCGAGGATCCTTCTTATTTTGGATCTAGATTAAAACCTTATTGTCCATATTTTGTTATTTAATATTTCATTTTCATGCATGTCACTTTTCCATCTTTCGTGGCTTATATCTCGGAAACGCGTGATCACAGCTCGATGCGGTTTGCACGGATTAATCTTATTTCGAAGCTAGATTAATGTCTTATGGCAAATAATTTTGCAGCTTATATCCGGTGACACGGTATTTTCGCATCGGTCGGACTTGACCTTTCGGCTTTAATATCTCTATAACGAATAGGCGCACCTTGTTGTAATTTGCGAGGATCCTTCTTATTTTGGATCTAGATTAAAACCGTATTATCCATATTTTGTTATTTAATATTTTATTTTCATGCATGTCACTTTTCCATCTTTCGTGGCTTATATCTCGGAAACGCGTGATCACAGCTCGATGCGGTTTGCACGGATTAATCTTATTTCGAAGCTAGATTAATGTCTTATGGCAAATAATTTTGCAGCTTATATCCGGTGACACGGTATTTTCGCATCGGTCGGACTTGACCTTTCGGCTTTAATATCTCTATAACGAATAGGCGCACCTTGTTGTAATTTGCGAGGATCCTTCTTATTTTGGATCTAGATTAAAACCTTATTATCCATATTTCGTTATTTAATATTTCATTTTCATGCATGTCACTTTTCCATTTTTCGTGGCTTATATCTCGGAAACGCATGATCACAGATCGATGCGGTTTGCATGGATCATTCTTATTTCGGACCTAGATTATTATCTTATAGCAAATAATTTTGCAGCTTATACCCGGTGACTCATCATTTTCGTATTGATCGATCTCTTCTTGTCGGCTTCAATTTCTCCATAAGTATCTGTATGTTGCCGCTATTAATGAGGATCTTAGTTATTTCGGACTTAGATTAAAACTCCTTGTCACTCATATTGTGTTACTTATTATTTCTGGACTCGTCATTTCCGAACCTGTCACTTTTTATTCTTTCGTGGCCTCTAACTGCAAAACATGCAATCGCAGCTCGATGCGGTTTGCTCGGCTCATCCTTATTTCCAGTCTAGATTAATATTTTATTATACATGAAGACATGTGGATCATATATACAAATATAGAAAACTCGTCTAAATGGAACGAAACTTTTCGCGACATATGCCACCGGCACATGTTGTCTCTTTCGTCACTTGTTCCAAAGCCGCTCGTTACGCGACCATTTGTCGGCGTATACATGAGAATTTTATTCCAAATATCTTTTTCAGCTACTGTAGCAATTTGAGAAAGAAAAGAGAGAAACGGATTCAAACTTGCGTGAAATGGCGAGTGGAAAAGCATAAAACATTATCATTATTATTAATAATTAAAGTTATAAAAAAAGCTTGGCAAAGGAAAGAGGACAACTTGAAGATTTGTTCGAGAATGTAGTTCAAGGGGAGATGCAGAAAAAGAGCATGAGACGAACGATTGTGTATAATTAATATATTTTATTTTCTCAGATAATCATAGTTTCTGTCGTAGTAAAGAAGCGGCGGCATTAACAATATAATAACGGTTGTTTCTCACACGGACAGTGTCGTATAGTCCAAGCACGCGGTAATACGACTGGACGCACACAATTGATCTACCTCGCGATATCTAATTTGCTGTGTCTGTGCGTTTGTGTATATGTATGTGTGTGCGTGTATTCATGTATGTGTATGTTTCATTAATAACATAGAAAATACAAAGTTACAAACACACGCAGGGCCGTACCCGTACGCGACGTTTCAGAGCCTATCTCGCGTTACACCAGCCGTGCGAAAGCGCGAGAAAAAAGCGCCACGGGCTTGATGTGCTTACACATGTCGTCTATCGATTAAATATTAAATTAACGAACGTGGCGTATATTAATGCTCGAATAAAAACACAATAAAGATACTCTATCGTGTAACATACAAAAAAATGTGGATACATTGATGATCTGTCTCGATTCTGCGCGATCGGCCGTCCATGCCTCTCTTTCGGACTTTGGTATCTTATCTCATCGCACACGCTATTTCGGTGAATACGTTTTTCTAGCCGGGCGATTAGTTGGCTAGTGAGCTCGTTATGCGCGCATAGTCACGTCTAGCCGAAAGAGCGGCGTTCGGAGAGATCTTAATGAGTTCGCCGAATGTAGTCCCGAGATTAAAAAAGAAAGTAACGAGCGAGCTTCTTTTCGCGCAGAACGGAAACAGGATCTCAGACTAGGCTCGCGCGTCCGAGGTTTTCTCAGCGTAAACTATGATAATCGAGGCATCGTTTATCGCATAAAATTAACTCGAGAGACGCCTCGCGTCCTCTCAGATCTACGTAATTTCGGCGGCTCGCCGTGGGATCATCGTCAGTTGACGCACTTAATTAACGACCACGTATCCTTGACAGGCGTACGCTTCCCTCGCGATCGTGTCCTCTCCGGAAATGATTACTTGCAGTGTTCTATCGGCATACCGATAGCTTCGAGCTAATAGCCATCCATTTGTACACGTCGCTTTGTTCCAAGTAGTTCCAAGAGAACTGTATGTGGGGTCCGTTATTTTTCGGTCTCTTCAAAATTGTCCGGTCGAGCTCGACCTATCAATCTTATTCCTTTCTAACTCCTCGCGTCGGAATGACATCTCGCGGACGTTACACTTTCGCGAGCCGCATGCGCATGCGTTGTTAATCGCAAAGCTAAATCTTTATTATTTCATAACACTGAAGGGTTCTACGAGATAGTGTAAAGATTCTTCAGATACATCTTGAGAATTCATGAAATAAATGCCAACGCGAGGGGTTAATTCACTCTCTCTCTCTCTCTCTCTCTCTCTCACACCATCGGCGAATCGCCGTTACGAATCGACGCCTAAAGTTTGCTCATCACTTAAACAACGAAATACTATTTTTACTGTGTCCCCGCGACGATCACTGCTATCGAGAGTCGACGACCGTTGTCGTTGTTATCTCGTATTCTCGTTCGTGATCGAAAGGACCGACAACGAGATATACGCGCGCGCGTGCTTCAGATAGCGATGTACATTTATACATAATGACGCGGGGACTGAGGGCGGGGGGTTACACGTACACATATAAACGAGTGTGTCCTGACGAAGGCACTTGATAGAGAAAAGAGAAGTAAATGGCACCATCGGTTTTTCTCGCGCACTCCTTGACAGACGCGCGCGCTGCATCCCTCCGTCTAAATTGGCACGGCGAGCGCTTATCCTCGCGACTCCTTCGTTCGCCGCTCGCTTCTCCTTCTGACTTGCCGCTTCTGATACATGATGTGGTTCGCGGCTGCGTTGACCATGCTCCTTCTTGTCGGACACTTGCCATTCGATGGTATGTACATGCCGAATTCGCAGTAAGGTACCGTGCACTCGTTGTTTCTAATGCACCTGCAAACAGACAACATCGAACGTCACACTGCACTCTCCGAATATCTCAGAGTTTCTTGCGATTTCGAGTACGTGTAAATATTTAACGTGTAAATAATATTTTAATCGTCCGACCCGCCCACCCGCCAAGAAGCGCCCTCTCGATTAAGTTTTTCTTTTTTCATTTTTCATTTTTCATCACGCGGTAAAGTCTCCGCGAACGGGGTTAACGGGACAGTTGTTCGCGCGTGTTTTGCTCGCTGCGATTTGCATACGGCCGCTCGGCAGAGCGCGTTTAAAGTTAAGTTGTATGTTAAGCGCGTCCGACGGTGTGCGATTACGGTGAAATTTTGCGCGCGACGCGCCAGAGCGGAATGCTGTTTTGTCTTGTAAATTAGTATGGCGATTAGTATGTAAGCACCGCGGCGGCGCGTTTTGCAGCCGCTTTAGTTTTAAATTTGTAGGCGCCTTCTTCGCTGGAATACTTTCGCGGCGATGAATACCGTGAAAACTGTCGCAGTCGTATTACGTATACGGAGATACTCACTCTCTGTCCTCGCGATCGAGGGATTTCTTTCCTCTGCTGATCTGCTTACACTCCACATCGTTTTCCTGGCATTTACATTCGCAGTCGTCTTGCGGGGATTGCTTCCTCGCCGTGAAACTCTTCGTACACTTGCATCTGTAAATTTTTTTTCACCGTGTGTATAATAACGTAACGATAAAAATCTCCCTCGGCGTTAACTCGAATCGATTCTGTTTCTTTCCCCGAATTCACGAATATAACGCGACGAGATGAGGAATGACGGGGTACGAGATGCGAGAGAAAGCGGTCGAGTCGCTTCGCGTGTTCTCGTGAGTTAAAAATGTGCATTTCAGCGGAACTTACGGCTTTGTCAGCGACGTCATCTTCGTGTTTTGGAAAGACGAGAGGGACTGGCCGTGGTTGATTCTCTGCATCTCGAGGATCTTGTTGTACCTTTCCCTATTCACGCACCCGCATTCCGTGTGATTGACGAACTCTATCTTCACCACGCTCAAACTGCCATTCACACTCGTAGTCTGCAATAAAATCAGAAATGGATAAACCTCACCGCGGGCCGTTCGTGCGCGATCAACGTTGCAAACGATACATTGTATCCCCGAGAGGGGATATCCGCGAAATGCTCTCGAGAGACTCGTCGGGCGCTCCTACACTCGTTCTCCCATTCTTTCGCGTTATTTACGCGCTCATATTTAATCCGCGACGCAGAAACGATCATGCGGAAGTCTCGCGACGTGAGTAAATGTCACCCCGCGGCGCACGAGGAAAAGAAACTAGTCTCGCCTTTTCCTTCCCATGAGAAACACGCTAAATAATACCGTATGAGCAACTTGATAAATAATATCGGCGTAGGAGGCGTCATTTGGAGTTTTATTATCTCGTTATACTCCGTTATACGAGGTATCCCGGAGACCGTCACCGTATCTCTTTCTCTCCCTCTCTTTCTCTCTCTCTCTCTCTCTCTCTCTCTCTCTCTCTCTCCCCCTCTCCCTCCCCATTCCGCAACTCCATCCTCCGACTCCATTTAAAGCTTTAAAAACAGATACTTTTTTTTCTCTTTGATGATATAGTCACCAATTTCATGTATTTCTTTAATTTCTCAATTTTAGCGCAACATAATTATTCATCATTTAAACAATAACTTACTGCGTTACTAAATATTGATCTATTTATTATTCTTAACTGCATCATTTTATAATCACATTGCAATATGCATAAAAGCGAAACGACCCTTCCCTAAGACGCAAATAAATGTTTCTCTATTTTTCTCTTTATCCTTCACCGTGTCGTGAATTTCAGAGCGATTTTCTCCAAAGAAACGGCGAGTTCGCGAAAAAAAAAAAAAGAAAAAAAAGTCCCGTGAGGTGACGAGCGCATTTTCGCATTCGAACTTCTCGCACGTCAGCGCGCGTCGATAAATAAATTCGCGAAAGCGGACCCTCGGTGTCCGGTCGTCTGCGCTTTCCCGTCACAACGGCGATGAGAGCGTCACGCGCATCTAAACGGGAGCAACGAGGCGCGAGTCAGAGGCTGCATGAAATTACGCGGCCTTTGAGAGGAAAACAGGAGAGAAAAGGAAAGAAAAAGAAAAACCAGACGCGCGATCGGCTCGTAGCCGCCCCGCTTCTAATTGGGTTCAATTAACCTGACTCACTTTGCTCCGGTTTGTCTGTGCGACAAACTAGGCGTTTACCGAGCGACACGCCGCTAGCGCAGAAGCTATCCGTATCGTTGGGCCGCATTTAGCCCGCGTTTAATATCTCGTCTCTAATTGCCCTGAGTCACTCCGCTTGCACGTACCGATTTCCGCTCGCATCTGGCCGCTCACGTTCCGATCGGTCGTCGTCCCAATAATTGACGTTGAATTAATGCCCGATATAAATAGACACCCGCGACTGCTCTTGCGGCTCTTGCGAGACCAAACACTCAGCGGAGCGGCTTCGACAAACAAGTGAGAAAGAACAGAGAGAGGGAAAGAGGGAGAGAGAGGGAGAGAGAGAGAGAGAGGGGGTGGGGGGAAGAGAAAAAAGACACGGCGACGCATGACATTCTCGTTGAAGAAACGATCGGCGGCAAACCCGCCTCGGGGAATTCATCTCCATCGCTAAAACAACATCCGCGTGTTCCGGAACATGTCCCGCGCGTCGACTTGATTTCCTCCATACCGCTTGCTTGCTCGCTCGCTCTCATAGGCCGTCTATTATCGTCTTTTACTACTTACGACACTCGCCTCCTCCGCGAACGGCCAGTGAGCTAACAGCGACGGGCTTTCGTCCCGTTTGTGAAAATGTCGAGCCAAGTCGATGCTGGCACGTCTCGTGTCGTGAATAAAAATTCGCCGATTAAATGAGAGTTTAGGAAATCAGCGCGCGCTCGCTCGCTCGCCCGCTCGCTCGCTCGCACGAAGCGTTTACGGCGCCGACACGCGTCGCATCGTGAGCGATCGCATCGGTCGCGTCGACTGGTAATTACGCGCCGTCTTCCCTCGTGATTGGCAACGGATGCGATGCGCATTGTGCGTGATAGAAAGCTCGCTCTTGCGCGACCCCGCGGGTTACTCCCCGCGAGGCGAAAACTCACGCTGTGTGTATCATTACGCGTTTGAAAATCGACGCGCGCCCGCGCGTTCTCGACGCTGGAACTTCGTAACGCACCGAGAAGAACGCGGAAGCGCGCGAGCGGATTAAGAGCTCAGCCGTTACGCGATGCGCGCGAGGAGAACGAGCGTTTCCGTCACGATATCGGCCGAAAGAAAATCGCGGAGAAAGTCCTGGATTTATTATCTCGCCTTTCGCACGGATAAAGGAGGACGGTTAATCTCGCTAAAATTATCATCGTTTTCGAAGCGATAACAGACGCCGTTATTTCTCGTCTCTCGAGACTCCGACATTTTTCCTCCGAGCCGAGCGATCATTCTTTTCCTCATCATAGTTACGGATAGTGTTGCACTTTCTTTCTTCACAGCGCAGAAGCGCAGAAGCGCATCGCATGGGAGCGTTTCTTTTTTGACGAGCTGCCACGGATTTCCTAAACTCACTTTCGCGCGCATTTTGCAACGATCATTTATTTTATTACACTAAATCCCCGTGTCCCCGCGCAGCACCCGCGCGCGTCAACAGCTAACGCAGAAGCACTCTTGTTAAGTGGGTCGTCGTAGTAATCGATCACCGAGATCGGTGACAATGAGCTAGACGGAACGACGCGCTACAGTCGCGCCGCGCCGTCGGCCGACGGTGTTGGCGATCAGTCGCGGTTTAAAATTTTATTTATGAGATTCCACGGCGAGAGAGGTGCGGTAATCACGACGTCGCACGCCGTCGTCAATTAATGACTCTTCGCCACACGGGCGTTCTCTCCTTCCCCCTTTCTCTCCCTTCGTGCGCGAAGGTACGATTGCGACAACCTTTCGCGCGCGCGCGGTGTCATTAAGATCACCGAGGGCAGAATTGCGACAGTCATTCCTCGCGGTGTCATTGGAAGTGGCGATTCCGGCCGTAATTCCGCTCGCTGACCGTAAAGCCGGCGGGGGAAGTGGGGGGCGGCTATTATGATTTTCACAACCGCGTCTGAAGAACCGCTGCAAAAAGGACCCCTCGCGATTGACGATAAAATCGAATTAATTCGACGTAAAGTCGGCGGGTTTTCTATTAGGAGCGGTTTAAGTGCGTCGTAAAACCCGGCCGAGGGGTTACGAGACCGTGTACGACAAATTGCACGGGAGGATCGCGCGGGAGGACTTCCTTTTTCTTCTCCCTGATAAAACGCGTGAATCTCGCTGGTTCGTCTTTGTAATACGAGCTCCGTCCGCGAAGCGCGTTCCCTGTCTCTCTCTCTCTCTCTCTCTCTCTCTCTCTCTTCCTCTGTCAAGTCGGTACACGAGGATTGAGATTCGCGATCGTCTCTGACGAATGGCCCGGCCGCGAGACCGTGGCCATAAATTTCATCCCCAGTGCCAGCCGTGCGCGTGGGATGTTCTGCGGGAAGCGCAATCGCCTCCTTTCAATTGCCCAGAATCGCTCATTGTCTCTCTCTCTCTCTCTCTCTCTCTCTCTCTCTCTCTCTCTCTCTCTCTCTCTCTCAGCAGCGTTACGTACACTCGGGATTATTTCACCGGCCACTTTAATCAGCGCGAGTTAGCGATCAGGATGAATGGACGATTACCCGATGCCTCTCTAAAATGTTTCCAACGAACGGCAGCTACTCGGGTTCACACCTCGGCTCGGGATTCACCGTCTGCTCTCAGGATCAATATTTGAGTGCGCACTTCCTACTGTGTATATACGTGCAGCATTCAGCGGCGGGATAGTAGCGAGGCGCGAGGCGCTCGGTCGTGTTTCAGGATTTTTGTCGCTGTGAGACGGTGGCGTGGAACAGCCATGGGTATGTTTATGGAGTGCAACTAACGCTTACGACTCCACGCCCATGGTATAAAGTCAGCCGGAGATTGTCGCCGACGGCGACTGACGCGGGTCTCGCAGCGCTCAATCATTCCTCGCCGGCGTTCGTTAGACATCGCGAGCGATTCGGGATAATTTGAGAAAACGAATCGCGACACGTGAACACGAGACCGGCGCGGCGGAACGAGATCGATGGTATTTATTATTCGCCGGCCGATCAAATAACTCTTGCTGAAACGTAGGCGCGGTCCCGCGCCGCGCCGCGCCGCACTTTTCCGTCTGACGATCGCGCCGCGTAATTGCCGGTACCTACCGGTACCGGTGAGGAGTGTAGGAAGTGGAACGTATCCGAGAGCCACGCGACTTTTCCGTGCGATGCGATTTCCTGCGCGACTCCACGAGACTCACCCGACGACGACCCGACGTCGTCGTCCGCCGTGGACCACGGCGAATCCCGGAATTTCATTTCCATGAGGATTACCCCTCTCGAGCGGTCGACCGGCCGCCTCATTAACATTCGCCGTATCTCGCTCCGGGCGCTGGCTCGTGAATGAAGCACGGGCACCCCGGCACGAAATCACGTGCAACGCCGGCCTGCCGGAGGATCGGTGAACCGTGTCGGGGAACCGCGCACGTCTCTCAGAGACGAATATGCCCCCTCGTGTTCCCTCGCGATTTTTTGGCGACCGAGCCGTATCGCATTATCCTCCTCTATCGCTCGGGAGAAATGCTCCCGTTTCTTTTTCTCCCGTCTCTCTCGCCGAATCGGTTACATCATTCGACTTGGCTCTTTCCGTCTCGCTACATCCTTGCATTCTTGTTTGCTTGCACACAGCTGGCAGTGCGCGTTTCCGTCGCGCTCTGAGTCGCGCGGTAGTCGAAGAAAGAAAGACGTTTGTCTTCTGTTGAACGAGCTAACCTTTCGGCCAAGATTCCAATCCAAGCGTTGCTTACGCATAGATATCTCTGACACGCGCTAGGCTTCGCCGAGCGGCACCGCTTCATTGAGAAAAAAATCAGGGCTGGGGCTTGGGAATCGCGTACAATGAAAGCGTTGCAGTCGGGGGAGGGCCTCGCCATTTTTCTGGCGAGGTTGCTGCAGTGTCAGCAAGAACAATTTT